CTTTTAAGAATAATTTTAACTGCACAACTTTAAATATTGGTTTAATTTGGTTTTATCTGGTGGGGGTTGTAAACATGTCTATGTTTTTAAATATGTTGTGAGCCGCCCTGAGTCCCGTTGGGAGAAGGGCGGGATATAAATCAAAACAAATAAATAAATAAATAAATAAATAAATAAAGAGGGAAGCAATATAAATATAAATATCCTTTCTCTCTAACTCGTTTTTCTAGCCATTGATAAAAATTGTCCCATGTTCTAAAAGTACACGGAGTCTTCTTTCTCTTTTCTCTTTAATGTCAATCTGTCCCATTTCTGCACAATCTAATTAGTTCTTCTTCCGTCGGTAAGTTTTCATTTTTCCCAAGATTGGGCAAATACAATTCTTGCTGCGACTAGTACATCTAAAAATAAGTATATACAATCGTTCTCATAGTTTCCTCCTATTATTCCTAACAGAAACAGTTCTGGCTTAAAATCTATGTGTTCTTTAGTCATTTTCTCCAACCATAGGTGTATTTTTTGACCAAAAACTTTTAGCTTTAAGGCATGTCCACCAGATATGGTAATAAGGACCTGGTGTCTTTTTTGGATCTTGAATTTCGCTCAACAGGTGCGGGAGCTGAAGTCTCTGGGCTTCGAAGAGCGGGGCTCCGTCTTGCAAGCCCTGTACGAGAACAACGGGGACTTATGGCGCACGCTGGTACAGCTGCAGCGGGCCCGCTTAGCGCCGTTCCACCAGCGGCTGTGGGAGAGCGAAGACCCTCCCGTGGACTTCCAGAGTGCTGACCGACAGGTGAGCGAGAGATGAAGAGGAGGGATCAGGAGCCGCTTATCGCCGCTGGCTGGGCCGCGGGAAGTACCACTTGTCCTTTCTCGTCTTGTTCCTCACCAGGCGCTGCTGCGGCGTCTCCTGGCCTCGCTGTCTCTGCCCAGCTGGGGCCGGGCCGAGTTGATGGTCTCGCTGATGCTCGAACAGCCAAACGAAGGCTGGGAGTTGGCCGACATCGTGGAAGCCGTCAAGGCCTCCCCAAACCGCGACTTCATCAAACACTGGCTGAGCTGGGAGTGTGCTGTCTGCAGCCTGGCCTTGCCCAGGAACAAGGTACCGACGGGCGATTGGTGTCCCAAAAGGGGCCGATTGGATTGTCTCCGATCCGTAAACTAAGTCCACTTTTTCGTTGTTGGTTTGAGCGCTGACAATTGTTCCTCCTTTTCGCCTGAATTGTCGGTGGGGTTTCTCAGTCGTCCAGGATCACGTTTGTCCCAAAGGTGTTTTTTTTTTCCCCAGGAGGCAACTGGACTTTCTTGTTTTTCTTTGAAGAGGTTTCCAGAAGCTTATTTAGCTCTGACTGGATGGTAGGGAATAGATGGATTTATACTTCTTGCAGACAGCTGGTCATTTGGCTTCTTTTAGAGAGTCGTTGAGGCCACTTGGAGGTTTGCCTGTGTCCTCAGTTGTCCCAAAGATGCTTTTTGAAGGGGCAACTGGAGTTTCTTGTTTTTCTTTGAAGATGTTTCGCTTCTCATCCCAGAAGCTTCTTCAGTTCTGACTGGATGGTGGGGAATGGAAGATTTGATATTCCTTGCACCGGTGACCTTGAGGAGACAGATAAACCTCCAAGTGGCCTCAACAGCTCTCCAAAGAATGCAAATGACCAGCTGTCTGCAAAAGAATATAAATCCTTCCATTCTCTCACCATCCATTTGCATCTGAATGGGCACGCGACAACGGTCATAAGTGCAAAAAAACCCACCCATAAGTCACTTTTTTCCCCCAATGCCGTTCTAACTTTGCACGGTCACTAAACAAATGCTTGTAAGCCGAGGACTATTTGTATTTAAGAGCAAACGGAGGGGAATTTCTCGGGAATCCTTGGATACTTTCGGACAGAAAAAACAGATCCCAGTTTTTGGTTCCCCACCCTCCCGCCAACCTCTCCTTCTCTGTTTTTCAGATGCAGTCACTAACGTCGTGCGAGTGCACAATTTGTCCAGAGTGTTTTGAGCTTCATTTCACCATCGCCGTGAAGGAGAAACACATTACCGATTTGGTGTGTCCGGCTTGCTCCGAACCGGAGATCAGCGACGAGACGGAACTTCTTAATTATTTTTCCACCCTTGATATTCAGGTGATGTTACTCCTGCTCCGTTACCCCATTTGACGGGGGGGTGTGGGGGTTTCCCGGCTGCCATCGGGGGGGGAAGGGGGTGTCTTGTTTTGGTGCTGGTCTTCTTTTTGAGTGTTCAAATTTTTATTAGTTTATAATACACACACATACATACATATACATATACATATATTATAAATATATAAGTTTTAAGAAGAGACTGGACAGCCATTTGTCTGAAATAGTATAAGGTTTCCTGCCTGAGCAGGGGGTTGGACTACATGACCTCCAAGGTCCCTTCTAACTTTATTATTATTATTATTATTATTATTATTATTATTATTATTATTATTATTATTATTATTATTATTATTATTATTATTATTATTATTATTTATATATATATATATATATATACACACACACATATAAATACATAAGTTTTAGGAAGAGACTGGACAGCCATTTGTCTGAAATGGGATAGGGTTTCCTGCCTGAGTCAGATTTTTCCAGGATGTGTGGTGGATTCTTTGCAAACTTTTTTTTTTGGGGGGGGGGTCTGCCTAGGTTGTTGTTGTTGTTAGTTGCAAAGTCGTGTCCGACCCCTTGCGGCCCCATGGACAACGTTCCTCCAGGCCTTCCTCTACCATCTTCTGGAGTCCCTTTAAGCTCACGCCGACTGCTTCCGGGACTCCATCCAGCCACCTCATTCTCCGTCGTCCCCTTCTTCTATTGCCCTCAATCTTTCCCAACATCAGGCTCTTCTCCAGGGAGTCCTTCCTTCTCATTAGGTGGCCAAAGTACTTGAGTTTCAACTTCAGGATCTGGCCTTCTAAAGAGCAGTCGGGGTTGATCTCCTCTAGGACCGACCGGTTGGATCGCCTTGCAGTCCAGGGGACTCGCAGGAGTCTTCTCCAGCACCAGAGTTCAAAGGCATCCATTCTTTGGCGCTCAGCCTTTCTTATGGTCCAACTTTCACAGCCATACATTGCCACTGGGAAAACCATGGCCTTGACTGTACGCACTTTTGTTGGCAGGGTGATGTCTCTGATTTTTAGTACGCTGTCTAGATTTGCCACCCTCAATTCTTTTAATTGGGCTTCTCTACAGTTGCGCAGCTGTTTGGATCAAGAGACGTACGACCTCTTCCATAAGAAGCTGACCGAACACGTACTTATGCAGGACCCCAAGTTTCAGTGGTGCACGCATGTGAGTAGCACTCCCCCCTGGTGTCTTTTGTTTCCAAATAAAAGGGGAGAAGAGCCAAAAGTCGGGGTGCGTGTGAATGAGAAGGGAACCCCTCAAAAAAGTCAATAAAACGAGTAGACCGTTTTTCTAAGAAACGGGGACGCCTAGGGATAGATGGCTGCTTTTCCCAACTGGGAGCTTTCCAGGTGGGTCGGGGGACTACAATGCCCATCATTCCACTAATGAGCCCAGTTGGGGTGAGGGGAGTCATAGTCTCATGGATCTCAGTAGGTTTCCTGGCTTGGGAATGGGTATTTGAGTCAAACCTGCTCGCTTAGGGAGACTGTAGAAATAAATTGGTTTCCTGCTCTGGCTGTTTGAATTTGCTCGGTATCTAAAGAAACTTTGATCCAGAATTGTGGATTGTTATTATTGGTCCACTGCTTAAGGAGCCAGGCTAGAAGCCAGGACACTGTGAGTTCTAGTTCTGCCTTAGGCGTGAAAGCCGACTGGGTGTCTTTTGGCCAATCCCCAGGAGACGGTGAGTTCTAGTCCCACCTTAGGCATGAAAGCCGGCTGGATGTCTTTGGGCCAATCACTAGGAGACGGTGAGTTCTAGTCTCACCTTAGGCACGAAAGCCAACTGGGTGTCTTTGGGCCAATCACTAGGAGCCTGGGAATTCTAGTCCCACCTTAGGCATGAAAGTTGACTGGGTGACGTTGGGCCAATCATCAGGAGCCTGGGAGTTCTAGTCCCACCTTAGGCATAAAAGCCGGCTGGGTGACTCTAGGCCAATCACCAGGAGACGGTGAGTTCTAGTCCCACCTTAGGCATGAAAACCGGCTGGGTGACTCTAGGCCAATCACCAGGAGACGGTGAGTTCTAGTCCCACCTTACGCACGAAAGTTGGATGGAAGGATGATTGTGGGCCAAGCACTCTCAGCCCAGCCCAACTGACAGGGTTGTCATTACAGGGAAAATAAGAGGAGGGTGGAGTATTGGATAAGTTTGCCAGTTATTTATAAAAATAATCAAGACATGGAGATAAATAAATAATAAACATCCGTTCACACCCTTCGGAGAGGACTAAGAGCTGGTTGTTTTTAAGGCGAGTCCAAATGTCCAGCTGATGGAGAGAATGTGCATGGACTCGGTCCAGTTCAATTTCTTTCTCCTTTAAGGACGGTCTCTGCATCCACTTCCTGGAGTCAGGAAGATCCAATCGCAGCCTGGGCTAGCATGGATTTTTTTCTCCTTCTCCTTAGTGCTCTTTCGGTTTCATCTACGAATCGGAGCAACTGGAAGCCAAATGCCCCCAGTGCCGGAAGAGTTTTTGCGTCCAGTGCAAACGTCAGGTTGGTGAATCTTCTCTGTTAAGATATTTTGAGTAGAATAGACTAGAACAGAACAGTATACAACAGAACAGAGTAGAACAGAACAGAACAAATGGAATGGAATGGAATAGAAATAGTGGAGTGGAATGGAATGGAATGGAATAGAAAATATAGAATAGAATGGAATGGAACGGAACGGAACAGAACAGAATAGAATATATGGAAGGGAAGGGATGGGAATGGAATGGAATAAGAAATAGAATGGAATAAATAAGAGAAGAGAAGAGAATAAATTCAGAATAGAATAGAAATAAGAATAGAATAGAATAAGAAGTAAAAATAGAATAGAAATAAGAATAAAATAGAATTAAAAATAAGAATTAGAAATAAGACTACAATGGAATGGAATAGAATAAAAGAATAGAATAGAATAGAATAGAAATAAGAATAGAATAGAATAGAATTAGAAGTAAGAATAGAATGTAATAGAATAGAATGGAATAGAATAGAATAGAAATAAGGAATAGAATAGAAATTAGAATAGAATAGAATAGAATAGAACAAGAAATAAGAATAGAATTAGAAATAAGACTTAGAAATAAGACTACAATGGAATGGAATAGAATAAAACAGAATAGAATAGAATAGAAATAAGAATAGAATAGAATAGAAATAAGAATAGAATAGAAATAAGAATAGAATAGAAATAAGAATAGAATAGAATTAGAAGTAAGAATAGAATGTAATAGAATAGAATAGAAATAAGGAATAGAATAGAAATTAGAATAGAATAATAGAATAGAATAGAATGGAATGGAATGGAATGGAATAGAATAGAACAAGAAATAAGAATAGAATTAGAAATAAGAATAGAATAGACCAGAACAGAACAAGGCTAACTGCTGAATTTGGGGTGTCTTTTCTCTTCCGCGGCGCCAGTGGGAACCCCAGCATCAGGGTCTGAGCTGCGAAGCGTTCCTGGAATGGAAGCGAACCAACGACCCCGAATACCAGGCGCAGGGCTTGGCGATGTACCTCCTGGAGAACGGCATCGGTGAGGATTTCGCCCCCAGGTTCCTTTTGGGACACCAACCGAGTTTCCTACACTAAGCGGGGAGTTTGATTTTAATTTTTTTCCCAATTCACCAGGCTAGAAAGCAAAAGATAGTGATCGTCCCATTTTAGGCATAAAAGCCAGCTGGGTGACTTTGGGCCAATCCCCAGGGAGACGGGGAGTTCTAGTCCGGCCTTAGCCATGAAAGCCAGCTGAGTGACTTTGGGCCAATCACCAGGAGACTGGGAGTTCTAGTCCCGCCTTAGCCATGAAAGCCAGCTGGGTAACTTTGGGCCAATCACCAGGAGACGGGGAGTTCTAGTCCCGCCTTAGCCATGAAAGCCAGCTGGGTGACTTTGGGCCAATCACCAGGAGACGGTGAGTTCTAGTCCCACTTTAGCCATGAAGGCCAACTGGGTGACTTTGGGCCAATCACCAGGGGGCGCTGAGTTCTAGTCCTGCCTTAGCCACGAAAGCCAGCTGGGTGATTTTGGGCCAATCCCCAGGAGACGGGGAGTTCTAGTCCCGCCTTTGCCATGAAAGCCAGCTGGGTGACTTTGGGCCAATCACCAGGAGACGGGGAGTTCTGGGTTGTATAAACAGAGGCATAGAATCATGATCACGCGAAGCATTAGTACCGCTTTGTAAAACCCTAGTAAGGCCACACCTGGAATATTGCAGCCATGTTTTGGTTGCCATACTACAAAAAAAGATGTTGAGACTTTGGAAAAAGTTCAGAAAAGAGCAACTAAGACGATCCAAGGCCTGGAGACTAAAACCTAGGAAGAACTGGGTTTGGCCAGTCTAGAGAACTGGGGAGTTGGGGGGGGGGACACAATAGCAGTCTTCCAGTATCCGAGGGGCTGCCCCAAAGAAGAGGGGGACAACTTGTTTTCCAAAGCACCAGAGGGCAAGACAAGAAGCAATAAAAGAAAACTAAGTCAATGAGAGAAGCAACCTAGAATTAAAGAGAAACTTCCTAACAGTGAGGACAATTAACCAGTGGAACAGCTTGCCACCAGAAGTTGTGGGTGCTCCATCAACTGAAGGTTTTTTAAGAAGAGACCGGACAGCCACTTGTCTGAAATTGTGTAGGTTCTCCTGCCTGAGCAGGGGGTTGGACTAGTAGACCTCCCAGCTCCCTCCCTGCTCTCTTCTATTCTAAAGGCAGATAGGTATAGGACAGGTATAGTATAGGGGGTACCTTGCTCAATAGTAGCAACTGTGAGAGGGACCTCGGAGTCCTAGTGGACAATCACTTAAATAGGAGCCAGCCATGTGCTGCAGCTGCCAAAAAGGCCAACACAGTGTTAGGCTGCATTAACAGAGGGATAGAATCAGGATCACGTGAAGTGTTAATACCACTTTACAAGGCCTTGGTAAGGCCACACTTGGAATACGGCATCCAGTTTTGGTCACCACGATGTAAAAAAGATGTTGAGACTCTAGAAAGAGTGCAGAGAAGAGCAACCAAGAGGATCAGGGGACTGGAGGCTAAAACATATAAGGAACGGTTGCTGGAATTGGGGATGTCTAGTTTAAGGAAGAGAAGGACGAGGGGGGACAGGATAGCAGTGTTCCAGTATCTCAAGGGCTGCCCCAAAGAAGAGGGAGTCAAGCTATTCTCCAAAGCACCTGAAGACAGGAGAAGCAACGGATGGAAACTAATCAAGGAGAAAAGCAACCTGGAACTAAGGAGAAACTTCCTGACAGTGAGAACAATTAACCAGTGGAACAACCTGCCTCCAGAAGCGGTGAATGCTCCAACACTGGAAGTTTTTAAGAAGAGACTGGACGGCCATTTGTCTGAAATGGGATAGGGTTTCCTGCCTGAGCAGGGGGTTGGACTAGATGACCTCCAGGGTCCCTTCCAACTCTCTTATTCTATTCTATTCTATTCTATTCTATTCTTCACTTTATTCCTCCAAGGTCCCTTCCAACTTTGTTGTTGTTGTTGTTGTTATTATTATTATAGACAAGCCAATAAATACAGTTCCCCTTTTTTTCTCTTTTTCCAGCGTGTCCCAAATGCAAGTTCTCGTACGCACTGGCCCGAGGGGGCTGCATGCATTTCCAGTGTTCCCAATGCAGACATCATTTCTGCAGTGGCTGCTACGGGACCTTCTATGCCTCCAACGTAAGGATGCTCAGGGATTGTGCATTTGTGTGTGTGTGTGTGTGTGTGTGTGTGTGTGATGCAAGCCTGGAACTCGGTCCGCTGTTGCCATTCAATTTCCCCCTTATAGGCCTTGGTAGAGGTGAATTTGGAGAATGGAGGCCGAGACGGTGAACAAAAACCCACAGGAAAATATAAGATACAGGGAGTCCGCGACTTAATGTTGAAGCCAAAATTTTCCAGGACAGTTAAGGGAGCTTCGCCCCCTTTTACGACGGTTTTCGCCACCGTCGTTCAGCGGATCACTGCGTCTGTTAATGAACAGCACGGTTTGAATGTGGCTTTCCCCGTTGTTTTTGCTTATCAGAAAGTCGCAAAAGGGGATCGCGGGACCCCCCCGGGCGACGCTGCAACCGTCATAAATGTGAGTCAATTGCCGAGCCTCTGAATTTTGATCAGGTGACTGTGAGCGATGGTGCAACGGCCGCTAGGCGTGAAAAACAGTCCTTTTTTCAGGACCGTTGTGACTTTAAACCGTCACTAAATGAAACTGCTGTTAAGTGGAGGACTTTCCGTAGCGTGAGGAACGGACTTTAAAATGCTGGAACTCTGCTCTTTTGATAGCGGNGCCCCCAGGTTCCTTTTGGGACACCAACCGAGTTTCCTACACTAAGCGGGGAGTTTGATTTTAATTTTTTTCCCAATTCACCAGGCTAGAAAGCAAAAGATAGTGATCGTCCCATTTTAGGCATAAAAGCCAGCTGGGTGACTTTGGGCCAATCCCCAGGGAGACGGGGAGTTCTAGTCCGGCCTTAGCCATGAAAGCCGGCTTGGTGACTTTGGGTCAATCCCCAGGAGACGGCGAGTTCTAGTCCTGCCTTAGCCACAAAAGCCAACTGGGTGACTTTGGGCCAATCACCAGGGGGCGCTGAGTTCTAGTCCTGCCTTAGCCACGAAAGCCAGCTGGGTGATTTTGGGCCAATCCCCAGGAGACGGGGAGTTCTAGTCCCGCCTTTGCCATGAAAGCCAGCTGGGTGACTTTGGGCCAATCCCCAGGAGACGGGGAGTTCTAGTCCCGCCTTTGCCATGAAAGCCAGCTGGGTGACTTTGGGCCAATCACCAGGAGATGGCGAGTTCTAGTCCCGCCTTAGCCATGAAAGCCAGCTGGGTGACTTTGGGCCAATCACCAGGAGACGGGGAGTTCTAGTCCCACTTTAGCCATGAAGGCCAACTGGGTGACTTTGGGCCAATCACCAGGGGGTGCTGAGTTCTAGTCCTGCCTTAGCCACGAAAGCCAGCTGGGTGACTTTGGGCCAAGTCCCTCTTTCTCTCAGCCCAACTCACCTCACAAGATCGTTGTTACACAGAGAACGGGAGAAAAAAGGTGTGCTGGCTATGTTTGCCGCCTTGAATGACCAAAAAAGCTAATACAATCCTGGGTTGTATAAACAGAGGCATAGAATCAAGATCACGCGAAGCATTAGTACCGCTTTGTAAAACCCTAGTAAGGCCACACCTGGAATACTGCAGCCACGTTTTGGTCGCCACACTACAAAAAAAGATGTGGAGAGACTTTGGAAAAAGTTCAGAAAAGAGCAACTAAGACGATCCAAGGCCTGGAGACTAAAACCTAGGAAGAACTGGGTTTGGCCAATCTTGAGAACTGGAGAGCGGGGGGGGGGACCACAATAGCAGTCTTCCAGTATCCGAGGGGCTGCCCCAAAGAAGAGGGGGACAACTTGTTTTCCAAAGCACCAGAAGGCAAGACAAGAAGCAATAAAAGGAGAGAAGCAACCTGGAATTAAAGAGAAACTTCCTAACAGTGAGGACACTGTTAACCAGTGGAACAGCTTGCCACTAGAAGTTGTGGGTGCTCCATCAACTGGAGGTTTTTAAGAAGAGACCGGACAGCCACTTGTCTGAAATTGTGTAGGTTCTCCTGCCTGAGCAGGGGGTTGGACTAGAAGACCTCCCAGGTCCCTTCCCGCTCTCTTCTAAAGGCAGATAGGTATAGGACAGGTATAGTATAGGGGGTACCTGGCTCAATAGTAGCAACTGTGAGAGGGACTTCGGAGTCCTAGTGGACAATCCCTTAAATAGGAGCCAGCCGTGTGCTGCAGCTGCCAAAAAAGCCAACACAGTGCTGGGCTGCATTAACAGAGGGATAGAATCAGGATCACGTGAAGTGTTAATACCACTTTACAAGGCCTTGGTAAGGCCACACTTGGAATACTGCGTCCAGTTTTGGTCACCACGATGTAAAAAAGATGTTGAGACTCTAGAAAGAGTACAGAGAAGAGCAACAAAGAGGATCAGGGGACTGGAGGCTAAAACATACAAGGAACGGTTGCAGGAATTGGGTATGTCTAGTTTAACGAAGAGAAGGACGAGGGGGGACAGGATAGCAGTCTTCCAGTATCTCAGGAGCTGCCCCAAAGAAGAGGGAGTCAAGCTATTCTCCAAAGCACCGGAAGGCAGGACAAGAAGCAACAGATGGAAACTAACCAAGGAGAGAAGCAACCTGGAACTAAGGAGAAACTTCCTGACAGTGAGAACAATTAACCAGTGGAACAACCTGCCTCCAGAAGCTGTGAATGCTCCAACACTAGAAGCTTGTAAGAAGAGACTGGACAGCCATTTGTCTGAAATGGTGTAGGGTTTCCTGCCTGAGCAGGGGGTTGGACTAGATGACCTCCAAGGTCCCTTCCAACTCTCTTATTCTATTCTATTCTATTCTATTCTATTCTTCACTTTATTCCTCCAAGGTCCCTTCCAATGTTGTTGTTGTTATTATTATTATTATAGACAAGCCAATAAATACAGTTCCCTTTTTTTCTCTTTTTCCAGCGTGTCCCAAATGCAAGTTCTCGTACGCACTGGCCCGAGGGGGCTGCATGCATTTCCAGTGTTCCCAATGCAGACATCATTTCTGCAGTGGCTGCTACGGGACCTTCTATGCCTCCAACGTAAGGATGCTCAGGGATTGTGCATTTGTGTGTGTGTGTGTGTGTGTGTGTGTGATGCAAGCCTGGAACTCGGTCCGCTGTTGCCATTCAATTTCCCCCTTATAGGCCTTGGTAGAGGTGAATTTGGAGAATGGAGGCCGAGACGGTGAACAAAAACCCACAGGAAAATATAAGATACAGGGAGTCCGCGACTTAATGTTGAAGCCAACATTTTCCGGGACAGTTAAGGGAGCTTCGCCCCCTTTTACGACGGTTTTCTCCACCGTCGTTCAGCGGATCACTGCGTCTGTTAATGAACAGCACGGTTGTTAATTGAATGTGGCTTTCCCCGTTGTTTTACTGTAATGCTCTATACATGGGGCTCCCTGTGGGGAGCATCCGGAGACTGCAACTGGTCCAGAATGCGGCCGCGCGGGCGGTGTTGGGAGGGACTCGTCGCTCCCATGTAACACCGCTGCTGCGCGAGCTGCACTGGCTACCAGTGGCTTTCCGGGTGCGCTTTAAGGTGTTAGTTACCACCTTTAAAGCGCTCCATG